AGCCTCCCTTTAGGAATTCTAGCCGAGACGCCTTGAACCAATGGCTTGAGCCAAAGGGCTACGGCCACTCACTCACAGGCGCAGCATCACCTGCAAGACTTGCAAGAAACAGAAGCAGCGCAGCATCTTCTTTCGTCCTCTTGGCGATACCATCGAGATTGGTCTTCCGAAGCAACCGTGCTTTATGCAATGCCACCTGTAGCTGTGTGACAGTTCAGCGCAGGCATGGCACTGCATGGCAGAAACAGATAAGTCTTTGCAGAATCTCCGGAGACTCATGGATTTTGCAGATTAGCAGGTTCGAGGCAAGATGAGGACTGCCGCTTTAAATGCTGCAGATATTCGATGCTGCCTTTGTGACGGAGACGAATCTGCGAAACATCCCTGGACTTGCAGTTGCCAGAGTCCAATGGGAAGTGGAGCTTGTGGAGGTGCTTGCAACTGGCGCTGCAAAGTGTGCAGAAAGACGGTAGCTCTGAGAAACGTGGACGCGGACTTGTTTGGTGCTAGAGATTTTCTCCCATGGCCATTGCAGAAGCTCTCTAGCTCTACTCTTCCAAGCTCCACCTCTTACAAGTTTCCGACGTGTTGTTGGAAGACGAAAACCCAAAGACACCGGACAAGATCCAGCAAAAAACAGATTTCAGCAACGCAGACGGTGGATGGACGGACTCTGTGGAATCTAGTTGGAACTTCTTGCAATGTAGCCTAAAAACTCACGTTGATGTGGCTTGTAAACACGTTAAATGGTCTTGATGGCTTAAACCCATTCGTTTGTGGCTTATGTTACTTTAACCCACACGTTTGTGGTTTAATGTGTTCGAAGGGTCATCAGAAGCCTAAAACCCATGAACAAACATAAGTGCTGCCTTTTTCTTTCTTTACTTGCCCATCTTGTTGCCACAACTGACTCCAAGCTGTTGGCTGGAACTCCCTTTTTACACAGTGGTAGTGTGGTTACTGCATGGGCATGCTGGGGAGGCTCATTGCAGAATTGCTTTCGTTTCGTTGGGCCCAGAAACGGGGTCGTCCGCAGCATCATTTCTGGGGCTCATCCTGCTTCCATATCCACTGGAGATCAGTGTCAGTTTGCAATGTCATCGAGGTATCTCAAGGATCTTTTTAAGCCAATTGAGATCTTTGACGTTTATTAGGATGCATCGCTGCGACAGGATCATCGAAGCTCCTGTCTGGGATTGCCAAGATCTATGGCTCTATGGAGTCAGCAATAGCCAATAGCTTGCAAGATCATCGAAGCCTAGCTCCAGCAAGGCAAGGAGCCAGCTCCGGCTTAGAATTCTCTAGTAAAGAAAGAAGAAAGGCAGCCCCCGTGTTCGTTCAGGTCCGAGGCTTCTGGTGACCCCTTTAATACATCCGGGCCACAAACGTGTGGCTTTGAAGCCACACAAGCCACAAACATGTGGTTTTGAAGCCACATCCAGGCCACTTAACGTGTGGTTCTCAAGCCAAATCAACGTGTGGTTTGGAGGCCACATCATCTGAGCGGTCACAAGGTCCCGCTTTTTGCGAGGAGCCCAACCGGGTCCCACCGGGCCCATCCGAGTCCCGCCTTCTGCGTCACCGAACCCGTTTTTTTGCTCGGGTCTTATCCGGGTGTCACCGGGTCCCGTGTTTCCCACACAAGAAGTTTCATCTGGTTGTCACGTGTCCCATACTTTGCTAGCCAGATCGAATCCGGGTCCCACCGGGTCCCACCGGGTCCCATCCGGGTCCCACCTGGGTCCACCCGGGTCCCATTTTTCAGGGCCGGGTCCCACACCCCGTTTAGGTTTTAAAAGTTTAAATGAACGGCGAGGCGGGACCCATGCACGGTTTTTGTGCATGGAGCTGCCTTTAGCATTGTAGTCCAGGTCATGTCCCAAACGGTGTCAACACTTCTTCAGTGAAAGCATGCATGAATCAAAGCATGTTCTCGCGAAGCTCGCACTGCTTCAGCAGTTGAGGCACTCTCGTTTGCCGTGTGCTTTCCGAAGGTGGAGGAACGAGATAGAGAAGATTAGCATGGCCCCTGCGCAAGGATGACACGCGCAAGCCGAGAAATCTACCAACGTGAAGCACAAGATAGCAGGGACAGCTGCAAGCTGCAGGAACTACAAGACCAGAAGAGTGCAGAGACTACGGTAAGATTGTAAGCTCCGAACCCACGAGGGAGGCTTTGGAAGGCTTCAGTTTCTGTCTCGAAACCCCACAAATGACGGTTCGAGAGGCTTTGCACTGTTGGTGAAAATCGCAAGCTTCGCGACTCCAAATGTAGGGCTGGAAAAGTCCAGCAATTCTGGCTTCGCTTGAGCGGGCCTCCCCTGTGCCCGTTTCTTTCATGTTGATTTAATGTACTTCCATAAGAAAGCAAGGCTTGGAAGCCTTAATCCTGAAAGCTTGTTTTTTTCCAAGCTGGACGCGCGCCTGTGTGCCACAGTCGCCTTGTTGTGTAGCAGTCAGGCGGACGTGCCTCAAAGTAGAAGAATTCGCGACCCCCCAAAATGGGGCCGTTTGGCGGCCCCATTTTTGGGGTCGGGGTTCCAAGCCTCCAACTCATGCTCAAACTATATATTTAATGAGGCCGGGCGCATGTCGCAGCCCTGTTTTCGGGGCCGCGAAACGGCCCCATTTTTGGGGTCGCAAATCGCAAATGTTCGGGGCCAACCAGCTGGATCTCGGGCGTGCGCCTGCCTGCCTTTGTTCCCGCAGTTTTGGGCATCATGCAGACGCAAGATTGAAAAGCCAGAAGTCTTGTCCAAAGCAGCTGCACGCTCACCTTAAATGCCACAACCAGCGGATTTGCAACTGGGGAGGCCCATTGTGGCGAAGCCAGAATTGCTTTCGTTTCGTGGGCCCAGAAACGGGGTCGTCCGCAGCATCATTTCTTGGGCTCATCCTGCTTCTATATCCACTGGAGATCAGTGTCAGTTTGCAATGTCATCGAGGTATCTCGAGGATCTTTTTAAGCCAATCGAGATCTTTGACGTTTATTAGGATGCATCGCTGCGACACGATCATCGAAGCTCCTGTCTAGGATTGCCAAGATCTATGGCTCTATGGAGTCAGCAATAGCCAATAGCTTGCAAGATCATCGAAGCTTGTTGAAGCCTTTTTCTAGCTCCAGCAAGTGGACTTGGAGCCAGCTCCGGCTTAGAATTCTCTGTAGTAAAGAAAGAAGAAAGGCAGCCCCCGTGTTCGTTCAGGTCCGAGGCTTCTGGTGACCCCTTTAATACATCCGGGCCACAAACGTGTGGCTTTGAAGCCACATAAGCCACAAACATGTGGTTTTGAAGCCACATCAAGGCCACTTGGGTCTTATCCGGGTGTCACCGGGTCCCGTGTTTCCCACACAAGAAGTTTCATCTGGTTGTCACGTGTCCCATACTTTGCTAGCCAGATCGAATCCGGGTCCCACCGGGTCCCACCGGGTCCCATCCGGGTCCCACCTGGGTCCACCCGGGTCCCATTTTTCTAGGGCCGGGTCCCACACCCCGTTAGGTTTTAAAAGTTTAAATGAACGGCGAGGCGGGACCCATGCACGGTTTCTGTGCATGGCTTCAGCAGTTGAGGCACTCTCGTTTGCCGTGTGCTTTCCGAAGGTGGAGGAACGAGATAGAGAAGATTAGCATGGCCCCGCTCAAGGATGACACGCGCAAGCCGAGACATCTACCAACGTGAAGCACAAGAAACAACGGTGCTTAAGCAGCACAAGCCCAATCACCAGGGTAGCAACGGAGCCTCTCTCTGGGAAGGGTGTTCCCAGCCTCTGTTCTGTGGCAGCTACAGGCCCTGTTTCGAGACATGCCCAAGAATTTGGTATTTCGCAAGCCTGCAGATCTGAGGGCCTGGAGGCACTAGGACGTGCAATCTTTGGGGCTCCGAAGTGCTTGCAATTCGCCCGCTCGCAGGCTTCGGAGCTACTTGGAGGGCCTGCAAGCCACTCGGAAGCCTTTTGAGGGTCTGCGAGTGGCCAGGAAGCTACTCGGAGGGCCTCGGAAGCCTTTTGTGGGCCTGCGAGTGGCCAGCTATTCGGAGCGTTTTGCGGGCTACGAGCTGCCACTGTAACTGTAAACGGCACCCTTTTTTAACCCCACGGCTTGCAGTAAAAGTGGAGAGATAAGAACATTGGACTTCCATCATTACGTACGCAGAAAACAAGTAAATGGTTGCTCGAACTGCATTAGACGGCTGCCATGGGGACACAGAAAGTTCTTGTATGCAGAATATGTAGCCGACATGGAAGCTGCAACAGACGCCAAAGAGCCAATCCGGCGGCTCCAAGTTTAATCCATGCAATTGGTTGTGTCCGCCTCTCAGTCTGCCGAAACGCTGGCTCGCGTCACTTCGAAAAAGCAGCTTGGACTCTACAATTTCCAAAGAAGCAGTCCGGCAAGTGCTGCTGTGTCGCACCTGCCAAAAATCCGCAAACAACGGACACTCTTACCGTTGCAATGAAAGCATCATGCAGAATGCGGCTTCTGCAAGTGGAAACTGCGCCACGACCGTAAAAGCAAGATGGAATACCAAAGTTGCGGAGTGGAAGTGACTTGGACTTACCTCCAACTTGCCAGACTCCGTCGGACCGTGGTATCGGAGCAGACAAGCTGCCACGCGTTATTGCAAGGCGAGAATGTGCTGGCTCCAGAAGACGTACGGGTGGACTTGTCCACTGGTGTTTTGCAAATGGAAAAACGGTTTCCTTTCTTTTGGTAAAACTGGAAAGTTTTCCTTTATTCGCTTTTGCCAGTGCCTGCATCTTCTTGCCTCGGTACATGTCGTGAAGCTCTGTGCATCCGCACTCCGCTTTGGATCAAGTTGCAGCGAAGTCGCTTCGCAATTTTGATTTGGGCCTCTCTAGAGTCCTGTAGTTCTGTCTAGCAGGCTCCGGGGGCTAATTCCAAGGCTTCTAGCTCCTCGTGGCCTGGGTAGCGCGATCGCCCCCTACAAGGGGGGGTGCATGGCAGGCACCTCTTGCCTCTTGAGTGATCTGTCATTCTTGTATGGTGTCCCGTGCTGAGCTTGAAGAGTTCCGTCAGTACTTTGAGTGCTCGCTGCTCAGCTTGGTTCGTGGTGCCTCTGTGGAAGCCAAAAAGGACGTCGATAGTGCGAGATCAGACTTCATCGAAGCACTGCAATCTTTCAGGGACGACACCCTTGAAGCTTTGACTGCTCTGCACGAGCGTGCTGACCTTCTGCTTGAGAATCAATTTAGGCTGCAGAACCAGTTTGTGATTTTGCAACAGCGCCTTACTCGGCTTGAAGGTGAACCGGATTGCACTGACGGGCCGTGCTGCCCGGACGGGTCGAGCTTTTTGGATTCCTTGGATTAAGGGGCTTTGCTGGCGAGATGTCCTCCAGGCCCACTGACCCTGATGACAGGTCTCGCTTGGGCGGGCCACGTGGTGGCCCATATGCTGATCGTAGACTGCCTGGGGTTGGCTCTAGGCCTAGTCCCCCTCCCTCCTTCGGGTATCTTCGGTTTAGGTCCGCACCGCCCCTCCCCGAGTCGGGCATTCCCTGCCCACCTGTGAATCGGCACGTGCATTCGAGGCCCCCGGCACTGCCGACCCGCGCAGCCCCTTTCACACCGCCGTTTCAAGCCTTGCCTGAGCTTCAGGCTGCACCTCCATTGCCCAATCCGCAAGGAATGGTGGTGTCGGTATCGAACAAGCGCCCGCGCGCCAGCAAGCAGGATGGTCGCGGGATGCAGGCCATTCGTGCACACTCAGCGGCCTGCTCTCAGATTGCTGTGAACCTCATGCTGCAGCTTCTTGCCTTCTTGGGGTCTGAATCTAGCTTTTTCTCAGCCATCCAATCAGCAGTGCATTTCGATGCACACGTGCGCCGTGTACTTGCAGGTTTTGCCGCAACGACTGTCATCAGGTACATCACTACCTTTAACTCCTTTGCTAAAGCTTGTGAGGACTTGGGTGTGTGTCTTCTTGAGATTACTGCAGTGCAAGCGGCCGACATCTTGGTCACTTTGCAGCTTCAAAGACAGGAGGATCCGACTGTCGGATCGTCGGCAATCACTTGCATCAAGGCCGTACGGTGGGTTTGCAAGAACACCCAGTGCATTGTGTTTGAGGTTTTCTATGGCGAGCTGATTTCATCCTTCTTGAAGACCAAATTGCCTAAGGACCGCAGGGAGAGCCTACCCCTGCCGCTGTATGCTCTTGTGCAGTGGGAACGGCGCATCCTTCAGCGCTCCACCCCAGTGCGGGACATAGTACTGCTCGGTGCCTTTTTGGTCACATGTTGGGCGAGTCTTCGCTTTGCTGACAGCCAGCGCATCGAATGGAGCTCATTTGCCTTCGACGTGGTTTCGCTTCGGGCCATTGCATACCAGACGAAAACTTCGCATCAGGGCCAACCCTTCGGCCTAATCACTCAAGGCTTCTTGCATCATGGCACACACTCCTGGGTGGCTAGGTGGCTCCGGGTTCTTGATTCCATCGCTTCGCAGGAGGTGCGCGACTTTGGGGTGGCTCCTAGCTTTCTGTTTCCGGCACTGGACGATGACGCCGAGTTGCTCCGGCCCCTGGAGCCGATGAGTTACCCTTCATGCTTGCGCTGGTTGCGCTATTACTTGCAGTTTCCTTGGATGGTGTCTCCACCCGAGGTGCCCGTATCTAACTATACGGTGCACTCCATGAAGTGTAGCCTCTTAAGTTATATGCTTGAGGTACCGGACATCCGCGGCCCAGACAGGGACGCACAAGGACATCATAGGGGGAGTAGCAGGGAACTCTACAGCAGAGATGATGTGCTAGGGGCGCTCCGCGCTCAGACACAATTGAGGTCTGCTGTCTTGGCGGATTTTCGCCCAAGGACGCCATTGCACCGTGGAGCACAGCTGCCTATGGCACCGATCCCTTTTACTTTGGAAGCCTTCAGCAAAGAGATCGATCCTGCACCGTGGGGTTTCTTTTCCTTCGATGTTGGTGTCCCCGGGTCGCTCCCCTGGGTTCCCGGTCAATCTTCGGCATGTGCTGCGGAAACACCTGCTGCAGAGGCCAGCACCAAGGCTGCCGAGCCCTCCTTGCCCGACTCCGCATCGGAGGCTGGATCTGAGTCAAGTCTTGAGTCCGAGGCAGGGCCCGCGTCGCTCGGCCCCCCAGATGAGGTGCACATGGTCGCCGCAACAGGCGTTGTGCACGCCGCATGCCCGTCAGGTGAGAGGACACTTTGTGGCATCGGTATGTCGGGCCCACGTTGGCAGTCGGTCCACTCTCTTAGTTCCAAACATGTTCTCTGCAGGCGAAATGCCTGTGTCAATGCATTCGCTGCTCTGGAAGCTTAGTAAAAGTGCAGTTTGCTGCCTTTGTCTTGTATCGGTATGCGCTCGCATTCTGCTTGCACATGTTTTCTTCATGCATTCCATTTTCTTTGCATTGAGCCTGCCAGGACACGGGTCTGCCCTCGATCAGCAGCTTCAGGCCCGAACGGTAGTTTTGCAGACCGCTGCTCTCGCACCATGGCAGATGAATTGTTCGATGCTAAATCCGCGGATGGATCATTCAATCTGGTGAATCCTTCACCGTGCCCGCTTAAAGCAGAGGGAGCCTCAAGCTTCAATCAGCTCCTTCAGGATCACGGCATCAGCCAGGAGCTCACGGATCGGCTGCTCGCCGACGGTTGGGATGCGAAATCTTTTCGCCATGTTGTCTGCCAGGAATCTGAGCTTGCGGGGGTCCTCCCTGAGATGTTCCCGGACACTGAAGTGTCCTTGATGCAGCGTGCCAAGCTGCGAGCCGTCTGGTCGTCGCTGCAGCGACGCGGTAGTAACGAGCCTGCTCCTGCAGAACCGCTGGGATCCCCGGCCAAGCAAGGCTCGGGATGGTCGGAAGCCTTCGCCCCCAAGCTTGATGCAACGCGGGTGGCCACGCTCAAAAAACGTTTCTTGGAAGCCTTCCCATCCGAAATCTTGACGGCTATGAATACCCCCTCGCTCCGCCTCTTGAGCACTGCTGTCGACGCCGAGGTTAAGAAGAACTGGTCTTGGATCCCGTGGAAGAGTCGCATGACACAACAGATGTATGAGGATTCCCTCATGCAGAAGCCCGCAAAAAGGGCCAGGATTGAGACCCTTCAGCTTTCGGACCTGTTGCTTGATGAACCGCCACAGATTGATATCAATGATTCCACCATGGGGATTTCAATGATCCGTAGGCTGTTGGAGGTGCATGACAATGCCCTCGCTCTTGCAGGCACCGCGCATCTTGCGCGCCTCAAAGCTTACACCTCTAAGTTCTTGAGCCTGGTTTCGCAAAAATTCCCGCCTGAAACAAACCTTCGGCCCCCCTCTGTGCTGGAAGCTCAGCAGGCGGACAAACACTTGTGGTCGTGCATCTTTCAGCTTGTGATCGAGAAAGAATGGCAGGTGAATGATGCGATCTACGAGTTCACGGAGATCCGCGGCGATATGTCGTCATGGCTGCAGCCCCGCGCCAAAGCGGCCTCTGCAGGCAATCGTAGGCCGTATACACCGGGCGGCCGTGACAACCGCCCGCCCACCCCACCGCCAGGTCGTGGCAATGGCAAGGGCAAGGGGAAAGCCAAGAGCCCCACCAAGCAAGGCACCCAGCCTAGGGGCGTTCCGTGGGTTCGCGAGTACAAGGAGGGCGGCCGGGAAATGCCAGCGTGGCAACTCCTGCGAGTTCACGCACGGCTGCGCCTTCCCTAAGCCCGATGGTTCACCCTGCCTTAGCAAGGACCACGGTGCGCCTCAGCACCCTGAGAAGTGACACCATGCGCCCGACTCGCCACCCACAGGTGTTGCCGGGTCCATCCACAGCTGGGGGGAGCTGCCTGCTCCCCCGCCACTGCCACCGCCGATTCCACCATCGCAACAGCAAGCCCCCCGGGGCTCGCAAGTTTTGGACTTCAGCTTTCCGCCACTGCCGCCACAACCCCTCTCTGCCGATTGTACAGTTTCTGTGTCACCGCCTCAGGAGGCCGTACCCTCCGTGCATCATACTGGTTCAGTGCCTTCGGGGGACGTTGCCCCCTCCACATGCACTTCAAGCACTCCCATTGCGCCGATTCCGCCCGCCAGCGGTACCGCCCCTTTGGGTCACGCACTTGAATTTTCCAATTTCTGTGGGCCGGCCTTGGCAGGCCTCTTCGATTGCATTTTGTGCTCATTGCGGGAAGCCCCTTGGCCCCAACAGGTTCGCCGTGCTCACATCATTTCCGGTGCCTCTTCTGCTTCAGGCTATTTTAATTTCGGGGTTCAGCTTTCTAGGCGTTCTTCACTTACTCAGGTCACCGTCGCCTTGCCTGAGCTTTGCAGGGACCTGAATGCCCTATTCAGGTTCCTCTTTCCAAACGAGCACTGGAACGCTTTGTGTGTCTCGCGCAATGGCCTCAGTGCGCTGCATTCCGACTCAGCGAACATTCCTGGCTCACGCAATTTGTCACTCTCGCTGGGCGCCTTCTCGGGTGGCCATCTTTGGATTGAGGACCTCTCCTGCCTCTCGCAAGGCCAGCCGACATCAGTTGCATCTGGCTCGGGCTGGCTACATGGCTGTGCTATCGACACACATCGCAAAGCCATTAGCTTCGATGGCCGCATTAGACACATGACACTTCCTTTCTCAGGAGAGCGTTGGGCCCTCACAGCCTTTTCCCTGCCTGACGTGTGTTGTGCCGAACTTGAGTTTCTGGGTTTCCCACTGCCGTCTCCCCTCTTGGGTTCTAGTCCTGCCCCTAGTCCCTCTGCCTCCCCACCTCGCCCGCGGGGCTCGAGGAAGCAGACATCACTTCATCGCACTTACTAGCAGGGACGCACATTCAGGAGGAGTTTCCATCCAGTGGCAACCCTGGGTCAGCCTCCGAGGCGTCCGCAGATGTTCCTCCTGCGCAACATCTCCCTTCAGCACAGCCAATGCCCGGAGTACCGGAAGCCGTCTCGACTACTAAGCAGCACGAACCTCAGTCGTGCAGGGAACATACAGTCCATTCCAATTCGGCATCGTCTAAGCTGCCACTGGGATGCAAACTGTGGGGAAAACGCTCCACGTCAGGTTTGTTTCTCTCCCACAAGCTTAGGGTTGCACGCCCCTTGTCACCACCGGAGGGCGCTTGGCGAGCTGATACTTGCATTTCTTCCCTCCCGGCGCGTCTTTTTCTCGAGATCACATGGAACAATCACTCGCGCCATCAACTTAGCATGGCTGTCCGTGCTTCAGGTGGAAACTCCCTCACCCTAAGCCCCAGCCTTGACCCGACCCTGGATGTCCTTTGCCCAGACCTCCTCGAGCAGGTCCTCTTCCTTTGCGGCTCGGGAGCGGTCGCGTATCTTGCAGCATCGCCACTAGCCGAGTCAGCAGACTCGCCTGACGACGTGGGTTCCTCCTCGTGGCTGCTATCGGCAATGCACGAGCAAACGGCGGCGGCAAAGGTTTCCCGTTGCACCTGGCTCCTCAGCATTGTACACACTGCAGGGGGTCAAGGGCATTTGGAATTGCCCCCCACTTCTTCTTACTGGTCGTCTGAGCGGCCCCAGGCCTGGCTGCATCAGGGAAACTGTGCTCTGATCTTGATACCCCCATTACTGTACTCAGACTCAGCTATTCCGTGCCAGCCCCAGCTTTTGGCTGCTTCTTACCGCCCGCTTTCCGCCCTGGCGGTCAGCTCGCCCGCCTTCGCTCCCCCGCAATGCGCAAGTGCATTTGCATCTTCGTTTGCCACGATCGCTGCCCCTCTGCTCCCGGCAGAGGGCCGCGAGCTCTCCCTGCAGTCAGTCATCAAGTCTATCCCACGCAAAGGCCTTTTCGCAGGCCCACATGCACTTCATGATGGTGCTGGAAAACGCTCCATTGCCGATTGGAGCAGCCCTGCAAGCCATGATGCATTTCGGGGATTACGCAAAGCCCTGCTGCAATTCTGCATCTCAGCTCGAGCCGACAAACGCTTGCTTGCTCGCGGTTCCTGCCCGTCGAATGAACCGCTTTTCAGCTCTTCCGAAGTGTCCGCAGCCAGGGATCTGGTGTTTCCTTCGCTGGGTATGCAGACCCCGGATAACGCTTGGTATGTGCATCCATACCAACCCATGTGCTTGCACGCGTTTGAAGCCCTGGCACAACATTGTGGCGATCAGGACATTCATTTGTTTCCGCATTTGCGTATGGGTGTGCCAACCGGGTACTTGAATGACATCCCCCCTTCCAACTGTTTCTGGCCTCCCAAAGGCCAATCAGGGGAGCTGATTCCATTGGCGCTCAATCTTGAAAACTGGAAGTCGGCCGATGTGGCTCCTGAGGTCACTTCGCGCTTGCTCCAAGAGGAGTTGGACGCGGGATACTGCTTTAAGTTTGAAGGCACACTTGAGGAGGCGAAAAGTAGATGGCCCGTTGGCCTAGCACTGGGAAAATTGGGGGTTGTTAGGGCTCCGGGGAGGGCCGAACGACTCGTGTTGGACAACAGCGTAGCTGGGACCAATTCTCAGTGCACAGTGCCGGAACGTCAACGTTTCCCGAGCATACACGATGTTTCGCATTCTTTCCCGATTCGCGAGACTTCCGACCGCCAGATGGCCATTTGCATTGATGTCAAGCAGGCGCACAAGCGCTGCCGCATCCGCGACTCCGAGCAGGGCCTGCTCGGCTTCACTTGGCACAACGCGCTATACTTTTTTCGCTGCTGCCCATTCGGAGCAGTTTTCTCACAGCATTGGTGGGGTCGCGTGGGAGGGTGCACTTTGCGCCTGTTACATACCCTGCTGTTCCTGGCCCATGTGGGCCTCCTTTTCGTGGACGACTTCATTTTCAGCCAAGCGGCCAGCCTCATGCCGCTCTCGGGAGCTGTGATATGCCTCTTTCTTCAGATCCTGGGTGTTCCAGTCAGTTGGAAAAAATTACAAATTTCTTGTCGGGTCGATTGGATTGGATGGCGGTTGTGCTTCTCTTCGGGTACGGTTAGTCTCAGGGAAGAAAAACGCTTGCGGCTCCTTGAACAAGTGCGTTCCCTTCTAAGGGGCGGGGGCCGTATCTCTACCAAGGAACTGGAGTCCTTTCTAGGCCTTGCCATGTGGGCCTGTGCACTCTTCCCCACTATGCGTGCCATGATGCACCCTTTCTACAAAGACCTTTGGTCTCCGGCTGCCACTAATTTCAGCATTGCTCCGGAATCGTGGCATAGCATCTGTAATTTCCTTGATTCTTCACTCAGGTTTAAGGCCTCACCTCCTCACACTGCCATCCCCGCGGGTGCTAAGCTCCTCTCGGCTCGTCATGTGCCTTTCACAACCCTTGCAGACTTGTCCAAAGTCGCCGTGACGCACAAAAGATTGTGGCTCCGCGTTGAATGCCTTAGCAGCTCGAGGCGGAAACTCTCCTGTGCCTCCATCCGCTCGTTGCAGGCCTTCGAGCGTTGGTTGCAACACGTGGCACCACTCGCCAGCATGCGCCCATCTCAGGTTGCAGACGTTGAGGGCTTTGCCGATGCATCGGCGTCCGGCCCATCTTGCAGTTTGGGGGGTTTTGTTTCTTGTCCGGTTCTAGGCCAGGTTTGGTTCACTGAAACCTTTTCAGTCCAGGAATTTGAAGCAGCAGGCATCCCTTTCGGCAATGACCTGGCTAAGGAGATAGCCAGTTGTGAAGCCCTGGCTCAGGCGGGGCTGATTCTTGCTCTCTCTAGGCTGGCTCCTTGCAGCAGGGTTCCTTTACGCCTCCCGTCCCTCTGCGATAACTCAGGGGCGGAGGCAGGTCTGAATAAGATGTTTTCCACCAAATTTCCCCTAGGCCTCGTTCTTGAACACATCGCCCTCCTGGCGGCCATGCATCGCATCTCTATCGATGTGTCTCATGTCCCAGGTGCCAAGAACTGCAAAGCCGACGCACTTAGCCGGCCGGCTGAGTACCCCACACCTCCAGACTGCCTTCCATGCCAGCGCATACGCTTTGGGCTCTCTGCTCTCTGGGAGCCTTGTCCTGAGGTGCAGATTTTCCCTTCCAGCTTCACCCTTCCTTGGCTTCGCTGAAATCTGCCACCCCCTTCAGCCCACACTTCCTTGGCTTTCTTGAGCGTTTTGTGGGGTGGCAAACTAATTTGGTGCAACAGTCGCCACCCCACAGAAGGCATCCTCGGGTCAACCCGTTTGTATGCTTGCACAGCCGATCTTTGCGATCCCATCGAAAATGAGTGAACCGAGTTCGGATTGCATTCATTTTCCGTTCTCGGGTTTAGGGTTTAGGATTTTGTCTAGGGTAACGGTTTTCCTTAGCAGAACGTACGGGTGGACTTGTCCACTGGTGTTTTGCAAATGGAAAAACGGTTTCCTTTCTTTTGGTAAAACTGGAAAGTTTTCCTTTATTCGCTTTTGCCAGTGCCTGCATCTTCTTGCCTCGGTACATGTCGTGAAGCTCTGTGCATCCGCACTCCGCTTTGGATCAAGTTGCAGCGAAGTCGCTTCGCAATTTTGATTTCCCACCCGACCCGCCCTGGTTTTGCTTGCGTGCACGCCGGCCTCACTAGGCCCGGCCTTTACCGAACGTGCTATCCTTCCTTGCACCTTCACTCTCACTTTGTTCTTTGCCCCCGGCATCCTGCCACGGGCAATGTGCTTGCGCAGGCTGCTGCCTTCACATTACCATTGCTTCTTCCAATGCTGCACACGGCAGCGCGCAGCTGCCGCACCATGTCTTTCGGTGCTCCCTGCTGGGCCCGCCATTGGCCCCAATGCGTTTCACCGCCGTAGTCTGCAGGTCACCTCTTGCTTGTAGCCTCTGCTCTAGCGTGGACTGCTCAGTCCCGGAGGACCCTTCTGGTCGCTCCCTTAGTCTGAAGCTGTCACTCAAGTGTTGTAGCTTCACTCGTAGTTCTTTTGTCCGTGGGGTGGTGCAACAGTCGCCACCCCACAGAAGGCATCCTCGGGTCAACCCGTTTGTATGCTTGCACAGCCGATCTTTGCGATCCCATCGAAAATGAGTGAACCGAGTTCGGATTGCATTCATTTTCCGTTCTCGGGTTTAGGGTTTAGGATTTTGTCTAGGGTAACGGTTTTCCTTAGCAGAACTTAATACCCACATTGAAGACAGGAAGAAAGTTTAGCACGAACAAAGTGGAGTTGGCACATTGCTTAAAAGCGCTCTTGGCCCAGCCCAAAGCCTTCTTATGGGGCTGCAGGGTCTGGCGTAAGGCGTTGGGTGTTTTTAGACTGGCATCAAAAGCACCCTTCTTGTTGAAGTACCAGTAGGGTGCCTGCAGCACAGCGCCAAGGTACAGGGGAGGCCCGCTCAAGCGAAGCCAGAATTGCTGGACTTTTCCAGCCCTACATTTGGAGTTGCGAAGCTTGCGATTTTCACCAAGAGTGCAAAGCCTCTCGAACCGTCATTTGTGGGGTTTCGAGACAGAAACTGAAGCCTTCCAAAGCCTCCCTCGTGGGTTCGGAGCTTACAATCTTACCGTAGTCTCTGCACTCTTCTGGTCTTGTAGTTCCTGCAGCTTGCAGCTGTCCCTGCTCGGAGGCCTCAAGCCTGCGAGTGCTGGTTCGCGAGTCGCAGGGCTACGAAGTTGCTGGCTGGGGGCCCCCCTAAAGCCACTTGGAGGCTCTTTGCAAGCACTTTTGAGCCCTGAGATTGTTTGAGCTCCTGCCAGCACGTTGCAGAATCGACAGGCCTTCGAAGTGCCGAATTCTGACCAAGGTCTCGAAACGAGGCCTGTAGGCGACACAGAACATGGAACTGGAACACCCTCCCCAGAGAGAGCGCAAAGGATTGGCCTCCTCTGGGTACAGGGCGAAGGAATGACAAAATGACAAAAATGACAAGCCCCGGGCCGGCCCGAAAATAAAAAATAAATAATTAATTAAACCCAGGACGTCGGCACGACGTATGCTGGAGGACATCGGCACAATGACAGGAATGACAAAAATGACAAGCCCCGGGCCGGCCCGAAAATAAAAAATAAATAATTAATTAATCCCAGGACGTCGGCACGACGTATGCTGGAGGACATCGGCACAATGACAGGAATGACAAAAATGACAAGCCCCGGGCCGGCCCGAAAATAAAAAATAAATAATTAATTAAACCCAGGACGTCGGCACGACGTATGCTGGAGGACATCGGCACAATGACAGGAATGACAAAAATGATAAGCCCCGGGCCGGCCCGAAAATAAAAAATAAATAATTAATTAAACCCAGGACGTCGGCACGACGTATGCTGGAGGACATCGGCACAATGACAGGAATGACAAAAATGACAAGCCCCGGGCCGGCCCGAAAATAAAAAATAAATAATTAATTAATTCCAGGACGTCGGCACGACGTATGCTGGAGGACATCGGCACAATGACAGGAATGACAAAAATGACAAGCCCCGGGCCGGCCCGAAAATAAAAAATAAATAATTAATTAATTCGGCACGACGTATGCTGGAGGACATCGGCACAATGACAGGAATGACAAAAATGACTGGAGTCGGCACGACGTATGCGGCATCGGCACAATGACAGGAATGACAAAAATGACAAGCCCCGGGCCGGCCCGAAAATAAAAAATAAATAATTAATTAATTCCAGGACGTCGGCACGACGTATGCTGGAGGACATCGGCACAATGACAGGAATGACAAAAATGACAAGCCCCGGGCCGGCCCGAAAATAAAAAATAAATAATTAATTAATTCCAGGACGTCGGCACGACGTATGCTGGAGGACATCGGCACAATGACAGGAATGACAAAAATGACAAGCCCCGGGCCGGCCCGAAAATAAAAAATAAATAATTAATTCATTCCAGGACGTCGGCACGACGTATGCTGGAGGACATCGGCACAATGACAGGAATGACAAAAATGACAAGTCCCGGGCCGGCCCGAAAATAAAAAATAATTAATTAATTAATTAGTTCGCGCGGTATGCCGAAGTTACCTACTTCGCGGAGGTTTCGCATAGTGTGCGAAACTACCCGCTACCTCAGAGACTTCCGATTTCGGAAAACAGCAGTTCGCGCGATATATGCAGAAGTTGCATTCTTCGCGAGAGAAACTGGGGGGAAGTTACTCATTTCGTGAGTAACTTGGGAAGTGAAGGATCCCGTCCTTCACTTCATGGATCACTTCTCAAGCAGTGTGTCACCAAATGACACACTTCCTAGCCTAACTTCGCAAGCAGTGCTCCAGAAGTGGAGGGCGAAACCCTCCACTTCCCATTGTCCGACGCTATCGGTCAAAAGTGGACGTTTTCGCCGTCCACTGCTATTGTGTTACGAAATCACACAATTCCTCCTACCCTCAAGTGTCCGACGGAATCGGACACTTCCCAGCCGAACGAAACTACATAATTCACCGGTTCTCAGGCATTGTACGACGGAATCGTACAATGCCACGATATCGCCGAATTGGCTCACGAAGTGCGTCAATCAGTTAACGACAGAATCGTTAATTGCGGCAACGGAAAGCCGGCTTCTCGCCGAAAATATTCATTTTGTGAATAGTTTGGGGAGCTTAGCCGCTACCTAGCCTCAGGCAACGGAAACCCCGCTTCTCGGAGCGACTCCCGGTGCTGCTCCGTCGCCCGAGCATAGGCCTGCGGCACGTAGGCAGCCAGAGCCCACATGCTGCCCTCGTGGGGCTCGACCTTGTGATAGCGACGAGCATCGAAGCTCACAGGCTTGTCGTGCATGTCTAGCCACCTGCCCCGCAGTTCCCTGCCGCCTTTCCTGTCGGCCAGTTCGTCCTCCTGTGTAGTCTCCCAGAGCAAGTGCGTGATTCGAGTGCCCGGGCATGTTCTGAATGTCCCGGTGCAGGCTTATGCGGGGATTGAAGAGCACGGCGATCGAGGTCCAGGTGCCGTTCGGGAAGCGGCTGCGGAGAAAGCCGTTGACGGCTGTGCAGGCTTCCCACAGGCCCATGGCATTGGACACGCCGACCACGCCGCCGTGCCCGAACAGCCCCAGTGTTGCATATCGCTCATATGCCCCTGGCCCCACCGCCCGTGTGCGGCCCCGGTGCTTCCAGTCCGCCGACCACAGATCCAGCAGCCTCACGAGATTGGCCTCCGATGGCTCCTCCGTGGCGTCCCGGCACGCCGCTTCCATGTTTTCTTAACACACCACGTCTTTCAATGTCGGGCTCAATGTGAGTCCCATTCACATTGAAGGCCCTGCCGTTGATGCTTAATTTTTCAACGCAGGGCTCAGCGCAGGTCCCGCCTGCGTTGAAGCTTTTTTCTTTTCGGTTTTCAACACAGGGCACAACCCAGGTCCCGCCTGTGTTGAAAGGAGTGACGTTGTCGATGTTTTTTTTTGGTCTGTCTTCAACATAGGGCACAACATAACTCCCGCGTATGTTGTGCCCTATGTTGAAAACATAGCGACATTGCCGGCATTTCGCACCCCAGGCGCCCATGGCCCTAAAACACCATGCCGCACCCCAATTTTTTGGGATTTTGGGCCCGTCCGCCGGGATCGTGCCCCGACAGCCCCCGGCGGCCGGCCGTTTTGCGAGTCGACCACGCACGGATGCGAGCCCGATTTTCAGTACAACCCCCGCTTGTACTCGAGCTCGATTTTGGGCGAATCGCCCCTTCCCTGTCGAATCGGTGCCAGCCAGCCCAGGAACGTGGTCGGGGAGGGTTTAGGATGGGTCGAACACAGCCACACGGAATCGCCGAGCATCACGGGCCTGCCGCGGCCCCGATTTTCAACACAACCCCCAGTTATGTTGAGCGACTGTTCCGGGCCCGCCGGCCAGAAAGCGACACAGCCAGCCCCGAGAAGGCCCGCGAGACCAAAAAGACCTTCCCGGGCCGTGAGTGCATCCTTCATAGGTTTGGCTCAAGGTCCCGCGGTTTGGAGCGTTCAGTGTCGATTGGTGGAGAGCCATCGCATTGCCCCCATGAGCTTCAGCGCACCCAGTCGTGCCATTCGAACGCAGCCACCTATAGGACAAGTGGCTAAGGAAAACCATCATGTCTCCACTTCCCTACAAGGTTATTCTGAGAAGGTTGGCGAAGTGTTTGAAGATCGAGCGCCTGCCAAAAAGCCTCGGATACCCCGCTGACCATGCCGGCAGATCCGCAGAACCATGTTTTCCTTTCTCTGCCAGGCTAGTGCAAGAAAGTTGTTTGCAGACGATGTTTCATGTGAAGTGTTTCCTTCGTGGGCAGGCATTGATGGTAGGGCCTTTTGCGCAGGTGCTTGATGGCGCAAGATTTGATGTGTCCGTTAATGCAGATGTTGGCACAACCCATTGAGTCGAGGTTTGTCACTCAAGCAGTCAGCTGCGGCATTCATGAACAGCGCACGTTTTGACAGACTGTTTGCCAAATTATCATGCACACATTGAGTATCCACGTTGTGGGACACGTTAGATGTTCTCTGCCATGAAGCGACCTGAAGAAGGTGGAAAAGAGCGACCTGCTAAGAAGCCTCGAACGCTGCCGCCCATTGGAGAGGTGGCTAAGGAAGACCGTGATGTCTTCATGTCCCTACAAGGTTCGTCTGAGAGGGTTGGCAAGGAGTTCGAAGGCAGACATAATGTTGTCTTCATCCGCAGCGGCGTAGCCACCGGCAAGACAACATTCGCGGAGCATTTGGCAGGTCAGTTTCCCGACAAGTACGTCAAGGTGCCCTTCACGGGTGCAGGAAAAGAATCTGTTTGGAGGATACGCACCATAGAAGCTATCGAGAAAGCCACGGACACGAACATTGACAGAGATGATTTAGCCGTTGCCTTCGCGAAGTCCCTGACGCTGGCGAAAGAGAAGGAGCTGACCCTCATCTACGACGAGGCGCACACGCTTTTTGCGTCATCAGATCTGTGCTCAGCGCTCTTCAAGGGCGACACAGAGCATCGACCAAACCTTTTGCTATTTTCAGCCTCAGGCGATGCATCCAGATCCGAAAATCTCACAGTGGCCACGCCTTCGGAAATCACCCGAAAGTTCATGTGGGCGCCTCCCTTAATCTACACGAACGAGCTGGGGACTCAACTGGAGGCAGCCGGTGTGCGGCTAGATCAACAGAGCATCGAGTTCTTCATCCTTTTTTCTGGTGGACATCGTGGCATCTTCATGGCAGCAATGCATTGGGTGCACAGTAAGCAGAACGCTGATGAAAGTTGGGACTTTGAGGAGACTGTGGCGCGTGTGCGCAGGAGCTACGGCACGGGGGATTGGAATTGTGCTGACACAGAGATTCTAGCGTTTGTGAGAAAGAGCCGTGCAGTGCGTGTCAATGGTCGGTTCACCGCTGTTCAACACATTCCTCACCAGTTTGCGGAGCTGCTGTGCAAAGGGGCAACCAGCATCGCAAAAGCAGACGTTCGAAGAGAGCTCTCTATCAACGGCTTTGTACTTCCCCAACATGACAAAGGCAGTGAGGAAGAGTTCCAACCCCTGGATTGGAACAACGCGCACATGAAATACCAAGTGGCAAACCCTCTGCTGGCTTCGTACTACCGCTTCACTCTGGAGAAACATTGTAGCTTGGAAGTTGGATTTGAAGCGAGCAAGCCACGAGACTGTGCAGATTTATTGATGCGAGCCCTGCCCTACATGTTCTTTGCCCAAGTGGTGTGTTCCTCATTGTCAAAAGAGCTGCTACCCTACGAAGGACAGTACAACAAGTGCTTTCAGTCAAGCCTGATGAGGACATTGAGCGATGGCAACTACAGTGCCTTCGAATTCCTCAGCTCAAGTCCTGGTGAAGGAAAACCCGATTGCGCTGTGCAGATCGAGGAGGAGACGTTTGTTTTGGAGGGTGTGATGCATGTCCGCGGGCAGGCAGATATCACGAAGCACCGTCAGCGCTTCGACGACATGTGCAACTACAAGAACGCCAAGCACAAGGGCTTATACATCATCGGCAACAACAATGAGAAGATGCTCGAGACCGTGAGGAAGACTGAAGGAGACGATGTCCAAATCATAGGCTTGGTCCCCAACATCGCCCACACCGCCTACACCGTTCACGTGAAGAGCAAGGGCATCGAACACATCAGCACCTTCAGGGTGGACTGCGACCTCGTGGCAAGGAGGTTGGTGCTCAAAGACGATGGTGAGCCTGAGCTCTACAGCGTCCAATCGCTGAAGAGCGTCAACCTGTCTCCAAAAGCTCAGAGCAGACGCTGGGTGAGAAGTCTGGTAGTATTGTTTTGGCTTTGTCTGTCACCGTTCTCTGCTTCAGTGTTTCGGAAGTAGGTTCTCTTGCCCTCGCGCATCATGATGTTTCGGAGTCCTTTTCTCTTGTTTGATCTGCAATTCTCGGCTACCTTGCGTCCGTTAAAGCACCCTGTGAGGCCCATCTGCCGGACCTGCAGGCACAAGAGTTGCAAGGTTTGAGACCGTTGCTCCAGGTGCTAAGACATGTGACCATGGAGGCTGGAGGATTCGAGATACCAGCCTTTGGTGTTCTGCGAGGCACGACCTCCTCATCCGTCGTCTGGGTGAGGGAGCTGGCCCGGAAGGACGGCGTTGTGTGCGCATGCAGTGTTAGCCCTGTGGTGGAGTTCTTGGCCAGGCTTGGTGGGGGCGCGGGGCGTGGGGGAGGGGCTGGGCTCCGGATTGCTGGAGTGTTTCTGATCGTCGACAGGGCAGAGTATGCGGCGGAGGTACACATCCGATCGCGGGCAGGGCTTCAGGAGGTCTTTCGGGGGGAGTTTCGGCCGTTTTTTGCTGAAAGTGTTTTCTGCGAGTTTGCTGTCGGTTCATGTCTGCCGCAGTTTTGATCCACTCGCCGCGCAGGATGGGACGGTCACCGCCAAGCTGAGGCCCAAGGAGGATTCCGATTGCCGGTCGTTTTGGAGCAGCGCCTCTGCGCAGATAAGGTCTCGTCAAGACCCTGAGGGCGAGGATGAGCTCGAGCCGGCGTTTCAGGTGAAGTCCCCTCAGGCCATCGTCGCCGCGCCATGTGAAATGGAGTTTGGTGGCTAGTTGCATTTCAGCAGGACTACCCGGACCTCAATAATGCGGACGACTTGAAGAAAGCCCCGGCCTCGGCATGCTTCCTTTTGCTGCCCGTCCCGACATTTGTGCAAGTCACGAGGCCATCAAGCAGATGAACCCCGATCTCAAGGACATCGCTCCAAGGCATATCGACATCTACTTGCAAGAAGCGCGGAGCCCCAGACTGCCTTTTCTGTTGGATCCTTCCCTAGCCTCCGATTCTGGCAGGCTGGAGCGTGGCGACGCATCAAAGACGAATCGGAAGTCCTGCGTCGGGACACCACCAGGCCCAACCCTCGGCTCTGTGATCAGCCATTTGACTTCCACATGACGGCATCACTGCTAGGCTAGACTGCTACGGCTTTTTGCCGTGGCAGCGAACTTGAAAGGCCGGGCGATGTGATTTGTGAAGGAAATCGGAGAATCAGTGCTGTGCAGGCACCATCTAGCTCTGCACATCATTTTGCACGGTCTCTCTCGGTTTCACATGTCAAGGTTTGCGATGTGCATCATGCCAGTCTTCGGTGTGGTCAGTTTTGCTGGGCTTGGATCGGCAGCAGTAGCGATCTAGGTCGCTGCTGTAGTGAACTAGATGACTGCAAAGATGTCACTAATTCCTGGCCACACCACGTTTAGATTAAGCTCTCGTGTCGTGCAGGTCCCCGGTTATCCCTAAGTCCCGCCCCTCAGCGCCCGAATCCTCCAGAACCCTGAACCTTACTAGGCTGCCCTGTGAGTGCCCTGCGGTGGCAAGGAGCCGACGCAGTCGACCGCGCCGCCCTGAGCAACGGATGAGCCCGGATGGTCCACCCTCCTTGCACAATTGTTTGGGTTACTTAGAGTCAGACAGCATCGTATCTAGATGCCTAGGCGACTTAGGCCCTGACCAACACATACATGTATTTAAGTCAGCCCTTTAAAGTCTGCCTTACAAGGCAATATTTCAAATTTGTAAACCGTCTCTGTTTGGAAACCCTAAATGCGTGGAAAACGGCGTGAGTGGGGCAAGCAGGGTGACGGGAAACCTAGGGCCCGGCCAGTCTCGGAAGATCGGGAATCCGCTCCAGATGGTAAGCGAGCAGGAACGACACGTGGCAAGGAACTGAATGAGTTGGAGAATGCGATCTCGATCTAGGTCACCCGAGGAGACAACCGGGCCTTGTGCCAGGACATGGGGACGGGGCCGACCGGCCGACGTTGCACAGCATAGAGGGGTCGGAAAAAAAGCCAACAGCCGAAGCCATTGAGGTGTTAATCTGAGTGCCGTGAGTGCATGAGTGTGAGTGTGTCTGTGTGTGTGTGTGTGCGCGCCGAAACAAAATGCGGCTCTGTGTATCCTGGGCTCGGTGCGCCGGCGCGTCTCTAGAGGGGCGGTGACGGCTCCGCGAGCTACGAGGCGGGACTCTTCAGCCCTCTTTTTTCGCACTCTTTCGAAGCCAAGCTGTGCAGGTGTCTCGAGCTCTTCCAGGCCTCGGCGTCGACTCACCCCAGTTGTCCCCCTAAGAGCCCGAACCCCCTTCACCCGAGCCTCCCTAGCTCGAACCCGAGCCTGCCCTGCGAGTCCGTCCCTGACGTGTCTTGTCTCGGGTTGTCTCGGTTGTCCCTAACTCCCGAACCCAGGCGCCCGAACCCTTAGAACCCTAGCCCTACTAGGCTGCCCTGCGAGTGCCCTGCGTGTCTTGTGTCGGGTTTTTTGGTTGTCCCCAGTTCCCGAACCCACGAACCCCTAGAACCCTAGCCCTACTAGGCTGCCCTGCGAGTGCCCTGCGAGTAAAAAAAATAACCAAGTTTTTTTTTCCGGACCCGTCCCAGGCTTGTCATTCCTTTGGTCTGCACCCAGACGAGCCAATTAATTAATCAATTATTTATTTTTTATTTTCAGGCCAGCCCGGGGCTTGTCATTTTTGTCATTCCTGTCATTGTGCCGATGTCCTCGAGAATACGTCGTGCCGACGTCCTGGAATTAAATAATTATTTGTTTTTTATTTCCGGGCCAGCCTGGAGCTTGTCATTTTTGTCATTCCTGTCATTGTGCCGATGTCCTCAAGTGTATACGTCGTGCCGACGTCCTGGAATTAATTAATTATTTATTTTTTATTTCCGGGCCAGCCTGGAGCTTGTCATTTTTGTCATTCCTGTCATTGTGCCGATGTCCTCAAGTATATACGTCGTGCCGACGTCCTGGAATTAATTAATTATTTACTTTTTATTTTTCGAGCCAGCCTGGGGCTTGTCATTTTTGTCATTCCTGTCACTGTGCCGATGTCCTCGAGTATACGTCGTGCCGATAACCTGGAATTAATTAATCATTTATTTTTTATTTCCGGGCCAGCCTGGAGCTTGTCATTTTTGTCATTCCTGTCATTGTGCCGATGTCCTCAAGTATATACGTCGTGCCGACGTCCTGGAATTAATAGCCTGGGGCTTGTCATTTTTGTCATTCCTGTCATTCGACTTTGGGGTCAAAAAAAAGGTACAAAAACCGCCATTTTCGACCCGCCCGGGCAGTGACAAGAATGACAGGAATGACAAGCTCGAGGCTGGCCCGAAAACAAACAAAAAATAGTTAATTAATTCCAGGACGTCGGCACGACGTATACTCGAGGACATCGGCACAATGACAAAAATGACAAGCCCCGGGCTGGCCCGAAAATAAAAAATAAATACTTAATTAATTAATTGGCTCGTCCGGGTACAGGCCGAAGGAATGACAAAAATGACAAGCCCCAGGCTGGCCCGAAAAATAAAAATAAATAATTAATTAATTCCAGGACGTCGGCACGACGTATATACTTGAGGACATCGGCACAATGACAGGAATGACAAAAATGACAAGCTCCAGGCTGGCCCGGAAATAAAAAATAAATAATTAATTAATTCCAGGACGTCGGCACGACGTATATACTTGAGGACATCGGCACAATGAAAAAAAATGACAAGCCCCGGGCTGGCCCGAAAATAAAAAAAAATAATAATTAATTAATTGGCTCGTCCGGGTACAGGCCGAAGGAATGACAAAAATGACAAAAATGACAAGCTCCAGGCCGGCTCGAAAATAAAAAATAAATAATTAATTAATTAGCTCCTCCGGGTATAGACGAAAGGCGTCACGGTGCCGTGGGCCCGGGATTGAAATCGCGGAGTTGTCTGACTGCCAGTGGCACCGGTCGCCTCGTCAGCCGAGCCACGGGCTCCCCGGAACCACGGGGCACCGGGAGCGCATGCTTCAGCAGAGTCTCCGAGCCATCCGTGGCTCGCACCACCATCGAATCGTAACTCGAAACCTCCCGCACCGCCCCGTACTGGGGCTGGAAGGACCTCTGGGCATTGGTGGGGGCCCGGAATGCCCCCGCCTCCTCGAGCCGGCGCTGACGGCTCCTCGTCAGCTCGTCGTTGTGCTTGAACTTTTGGGCGTTATCCTGGTAAACCCTGAAGGTCGCGGCCGGCATCGTCTCGACATCTTCCGGGGCCACCGTGACTGCCTCATGTGGCCGGGCGTTGTATGCCTCGGTGACGTTTTCCACGTGCTGCCCCCAGCCGCCGCCGTCCTGGGCCACTTTGCCCGCTAGATCTTTCTTCAATGTTTGAATCGCCCGGTCCACAACGGCCGTGGCATTACGGTCAGAGGGGTCCTTCTGCCGGTGCACCACGCCCCCGGGCAGTGCCGCCTCGAGGCCCCGAAACTCGTTCCCCAGATCCGTGGTGATGGCATAATTCGACCCGCCCTCCACCAGCTCGGGGATGATCTCCGCTGCTGCTCGCGTCACCGTATCGGCCCGCTTGTCGGGCAACGCCTTCGTCGCCACCTCCCGGGTGAAGACGTCCGTGACCACCAGGCCGAACTTGTTGGCTCCCCGGGTGTTTTGGCTCATGTCGATGAGGTCGGCCTGCAATCGCTTGTCGGGCCCCTCCGCCGCACTCTTCCCCAGGCTCCGGGGCTTCGGGGCCAGGATCTGCCTCGCCACGTCACTGCGCAGCGCCGCCTGGGCTCGAGCACTGGTGAGGTCCCGCCGCTCCGGGAACTCCCGTCGAGCTATTTGGAACAGCTTCCGTGGGTCCCTCACGTTGAAGTCCCGGGCCAGGTCCTGCAGCAGCCCGATCGCCTCTCCTTCCGCCATTTCTTAACTATTGATCGGATCGATAGTTTCAGTCCGAGTCGTCCTTGCGACCCTTCTTCTTCTCCAGCTTCTCGATCCTCTTCTGCAGGCCCTTGCAGACCTGCCAGAGCACGGCCGTCATGCGCTGGTAATCCAGGGTCATGAGCTCCCGGTCCTCGAACTTCTTGACCTTGCAGAGGCTCTTGCCCAGGGCCCCCGAGGCCTCCACCTGCTGGGCCACGAAGCCCACCTGGTTGGCCGGGCCGTCCACCCGGTCGTAGTAGGTCGCTTCCACGCCGTCGAAGGCCTCCTGGGCCTCCTGGGCCGGCACGGCTCGGAGGTTCGTCTTGAGGCTCTCGTCGCTCAAATTTTGGAAGCCATAGAAGCAGATCACCTCGCCGTCGCTGCCCCCGCCGGTGTTGGCCTCGATCAGAAGGTTGGCCGGCCCGCTGCTGGTGTTCAGTGAGATGGTCTGGTCCAGCGCGTTCAGCTGGCAGCCGCCGATGGAGAGGACCTTGAGCTCTGCGAGCCCGGCCTGGTTGTTGGCGTCCAAAAGGACCGTGGTTTCACCGGTGGGCGCCACGTTGCGAATGACCGTGCCCACGGTGCCGCCCGGAGGTCCCACGGCGATTTGCTCCAGCAGGGGGCTGAGGACCTGGACTCCGCTGGTGCCCCCGGACAGGGACAGGAAGGGCAGGCTGGCCTCCGGAGCGATGGCGCCGTTGACCCGGAAGGTGTCTCGATCTGCTGGTTTGCCAGGATGCTGCCGTTGGTGGTGACATTGCCTGTGGCCGCCACGGAGCCGGCGAGCAGCTGGGCGAAATCCGCCGTGGTGGCGTTCAGCGTCTTCGCCGCGTTGACCGTGACGTCCTGGTCCAGGGTGATCCCGGCGGCGGCGAAGGAGGCCAGCGGTGTGTTGTCGATGGCCCTCAGCACGATTGGGGTGCCCCGGAGCTCCGGGGTCTCCACGAAGCCGGAAGCGGTGAGGCTGGTGCAGAAGATGTCGGCCGGTAGCGGGCTCGCCTCGAGAGCGGCCACGCGCCCGTCCAGCAGCGTGACCTGCGTGCCCAGGCCGTTGAAGGTGGCCGTGAGTGTGTACCTGGAGTCGGACTCGCTCTTGGACCAGCAGTCCACTTCCAGCTCGAGTGCTGAGCCGTTGCCCAAAATGGGCAGGAGGCTCACGGGGGCACGGGGCACCAGGCTCCGGATGCGCCTCGGCGTGAACTGGTCCTGCAGAAGGTTGTAGATCGGGCCGCCCTCCGTGAAGCTGTTTTGGGGAAAGTAGCGGG